AAAAAAAAAAAGAAAAGAAAAAAATCATTTTACCAGACAAATAGATCAAATCGATCACAGTCTCAAAACACATGCCAAGAAACATAAGGCCAAATAAATGTAAAAAAATACAACAAACTCAGAATTTTACATTGAAAATGTTTTGGGTTTTCTTTCTTTCTTTCTTTCTTTCTTTCTTTCTTTCTTTCTTTCTTTCTTTCTTTCTTTCTCTCTCTCTCTCTCTCTCTCTCTCTCCCCCTCCCTCCCTCCCTCCCTCCCTTCCTTCCTTCCTTCCTTCCTCCCTCCCTCCCCTTTCCTTTTTAATGTGGATGAGTATTTTGCCTACATGTATGTGCACCATATGAGGTGCAGTGCCTATAGAAGCCAGAAGGGGGCATTAGATGCCCTGGGACTGGAGTTACAGATGGTTGTGAGCTGCCATGTAAGTGCTGGGAATTGAACCTGAGTCCTCTGGAAGAGCAGCCAGTGCTCTTAACTGCTGAGTTATCTCTCTTTCACTACAAATACTTTTTAAGCTATGCTGTCACACGATACTTAAAAAAAAAAAAAAAAAAAAAAAAAAAAAAAAAAAAAAAAAAAACTTGTACCTGTTCTAATGTTAAACTATGTCCTGGTTGTTTCTGCATGAGAGTGAGTCTCTCCAGCAGCCAAAACACTGTTCACAGGGCTATCTTCAGGCTGGTGTTTGGGGATAATTAGTTTTACTCTTTTCTGTTTGCTCTGTGGTTTTTTTTCCCCCAACCATTCACGCATTATTCAGCTAAAACATCATACATTCAATGACACAGTAATGCCAGGCACTGCAAGATCCCACAATGCTTTGCAAATCATCAGACTTGGAGTGTTGTGCATAGAACTAGACTTGTTTGGTGTGTAAGTTTGCCAGATACTCATCTAACATAATTCTCCACTTGGCCACAGAGTCTGTAGAGAAATTAAAAAATATAACTCAGAAGGTTCAGCATAGGTGACCACCACATAAACAACAACCAAGGGCAAAGGAGAATGAAAACCTGGGTTATGTCTAACTGTCGTGGCCTTAACACTGTGGGGAGATCATGTTCGTCACTGCACACAGCAATTAACTCCAAGTAAATGAAGACAGATTTGCATAAAGATCAGTGACATGCATGCGTTTATGAAAAACCAGAAACTAGCTGAGTTTGGAAAAGGGAGTTAATGCACATCCATTAGAAGAACTAAGATGTAGGTAAACATCTAGGATTCATCATTAAAAGGAAAGAGAGAGACTACAAAATAGAATGCTGTCAACTTAAAAATGATACATTGGCATACAAACAAAATATTAGCAGTAATTAGCTTTACTTTTGAGGGGTGAGAGTGCTACTATATGATTTTCAAGCAAATTCCAAATAAAAGATATTGAAGTATTCAATTCCTGAAGGAGGAACCTGGTTAAGTTGATATTAACTGATTCATGCAAGAACTGAAGTTCAACAAGAGCCGCATTCTGAAAGAGGTCTGCTGAGTGACGTGTGGGTCTGCCGAATGACAGGATGGAACAGCTAATTCACTTCCTCTGTAGGTGATGGTCATACGACACCAGAGACCATTGAGCATAACTATTTCACGCATAACCATTTCACTTGAGTGAACCACTCATTACGCGAATATATTTCAAAGCTGCTATTGTTAACAAGCTAAAACCAAGGCTGGAGATAGAGCTCAGGGCTGGGAAAAAGTGCTTCCCTTTCATGCACTAGGCCTTGGGTTCAGTTCTCAGCACTGCCCAAAATAAAATACACAGACAGAGCTAAACACAAACAAAACAGGGACAACCCCAAACAGCAAAACCACCATGAACAAATGTTAACCATACTCCCCATGATTGAAAGGCCATCCCTTACCTTTTGTCTCCATAGTTTAGATAACTTTTATTAATATTAAAATGGAATTTTTATTCATTTTGAGGCTTCTGTAGGGGGTGGCATTACTACTCGCTAACCAACCTGGGGTAGTGTGAATCTTGGAAATGGTTCTCTCTCTGGCTATGTGGAACATGCTCCCAGGGAGCTCCAGATATGCAGCCTGCTGGGCCTGGCAGGTGGGTAAGGTACTGCCCTGTGCTCCTGCCCCCATCTAACCACCTGGCCTTGTGTATGTCAAGCTCACAAACGTAGTCCCCTCAGACATGGAAATGAGAACACCAAGTGTGGTGGTATTGTGTTCCCCAAAATATTGTGTACTCTAATAAATTTATTTGGGGTCAGAGAACAGACAGCCACTAGATACAAAGGCTAGAAAATGGTGGCACTCACACCTTTAATCCTAGCATTCCAGAGATAGAAATCCCTCTGGATCTCTGTGAGTTCAAGGCCACATTGGAAAAAGCCAAGCATGGTGACACACGCCTTTAATCCAAGAAAGCCAGCCTTTAATCCCAGGGAGTGGTGGTAGAAAGCAGAAAGATATATAAGGCGTGAGGACCAGAAACTAGAAGCATTTGGCTGGTTAAGCATTTGGCTGGTTAAGCATGTGGCTGGTTAAGCTTCAGGCTTTCGAGCAGCAGTTCAGCTGAGATTCATTCTGGATGAGGACACAGAAGCTTCCAGTCTGAGGAAACAGGACCAGCTGAGGAACTGGTGAGGTGAGATAGCTGTGGCTTATTCTGTCTCTCTGATCTACCAGCATTGACCCCAATAACCCGCCTCAGGTTTGATTTTATTATTAAGAACTTTTAAGAATTCCTGCTACAACCAAGTCTACTGAGTCTGTCAGGCCCCGTGTGGAATAGCATTAAATGCCGGCTTCTCACACACAGCAGGTGCACAAACACAGGCTGAGTGTCCCTTGTCCAAAGTGCTTAAGACTTCTCATACTTTTGGACTTCTGATACTTTTTTAAAATTTTGTAATATTTGTATCCCTAAAAGTTTTCTTAGGGACAGAGCCCTAAACATGAAATTCATTTCTCATTCACACCTGAGATACATGTCTGAAGACAATTTTATACAGTATTTTGATACTTTTGTTCATCAAACTGCTGTGGGATGGTCTGTAAGTCAAATTGCTCAGATTGGTCAATCAATAAAACACTGATTGGCCAGTGGCCAGGCAGGAAGTATAGGCGGGACTAACAGAGAGGAGAATTGAGAGAACAGGAAGGCAGAAGGAGACACTGCCAGCCGCCACCATGACAAGCAGCATGTGAAGATGCCGGTAAGCCACGAGCCACGTGGCAAGGTATAGATTTATAGAAATGGATTAATTTAAGATGTAAGAACTAGATAGCTAGAAGCCTGAGCCATTAGGCCAAACAGTTTAAACAATGTAAGTCTCTGTGTTTACTTGGTTGGGTCTGAGCGGCTGTGGGACTGGCAGGTGACAGAGATTTGTCCTGACTGTGGGCCAAGCAGGAAAACTCTAAAACAATCAAACAAATTTCATGGTGTGGGATTTTTCCATTTGTAGAATAGACTGATGCTCAAAAATGTTCAGATTTTAGAATATTTTCATATTTTTAATTTTCAGATTAGGAAAGCAACCTGGGATTTTCCCTCCCTCTCTTCAGATCAGAGCAAGTGTGATTTGGGTTTTTATTTTTTTTTTAAATACAGATCCCTGTATCAGGTTCCAAAATAATTGGTAACTAGGGTCTAGACTGAGGGAAAAGATTTATGGGATGTTTTTAAGTGAAAACCCAAATACAGACAGGCAGCATTCAAAGAATGCTAGAAGGAACAAGGCTGCTACATGCAGTCCATGCAGGCAAAAAGGGGTGGGATGCTTCGTCTCGCTCTCTGACACAGTGAGAAAACATGCAGCAGAATCCCACTGACTGCCTCTCCTGGACAGAGAGGCAAAGGTGGAGTGGGAGAGCCTTCACCGCTTACTGCGTCTTCCCCAGGTCCCCATCTCCTCCCAAAGATGAGGCATGGGGAGTCTCAGCCATGTGTCCAGCAGATCAAGCTACAGATGGCGGCCTCTCCTTCCATTCTACCATTTCCCTGTGAGCCCAGGTCCTCCTATAAAGCAGGCAGGACAAGCAGGACATAAGATTGGTGGGGGCAGGCATGTCATGGTACAGAGAGGCACACCTGGAAGTGACTCACCTGCAGAGCTCCAGCTTGTCTCTCTCTCTCCAGTGCTAACAGCATCAAGAGAGTCAGCTACTAAGAAAAAGACCAAAGAAAGCCATGGTGCCACCCAGTCCTGGGAAGATGGAACACAGGTGAGATGAAACAGGCCAGGGCGCCATTAGGAAGGCATTTCCTAGGTCTGAAAAGTACCCAAGACAAAAGCACATACTTTTCATGTGTGAGCTGAGACGGAGATGAGTTTAGGAGAGGCGAAGCCTTCAGGGGGTCAATTTCCAGATGTCACATTTCCCAAAGGATAAGGCATTGTCCTGTCTGACCAGGTCAGAAAACAAAAGGAAAACCTAGAGCTGGACCAAGACGATCACTACCAAGACATTAAGTAATAAGGTGATTCACAGTCCAACCACTGGCTTAAAGTACAGAAATGTAGAGGGAGGAGATGGGTGGACAGCACCAGTGAAGATGAGCCATTGAATTCCCGCCGTTAGCAATGCAGCATGGCTGCCCAGCAAGCTAAGAGGGTGTATTGACGCATGGGCAGTACCTGGCATGGGGGAGGCAAGAAAGAGTTCCATGTACTAAATCTTCACTCTTGCTTAGACACAACCCAAGGTTCTCCAGCAAGCCCTTTCCTTCCTTCCTCCTTCTCCTCCTCCTCCTCCCTCTTTTTTCATTTTGTTTTAGGCCCAGACTGGTCTAGAAATCACTACTTAGCCCAGCCTGGCTTCAAACTCACAGCAATCCCCCTGTATCACATACCCCCCGCCGCCACCGAGCGCAAATGCTGGGATTACAAGCATGTATGGGCCACCACACCTAGTTCTTTTGACTTAGGTTTCTAAAGACAAGAAGATGAGGCTGAGAACCACATTCTAAAATGAGAGGAGCACTGACAGGAAAGGAAAAGGCTCAGCCTGCAACCTAGCTATCCATACCACACTTGAAGGTCTGATAGTTAAAGGAGTCAGCTTTTCCCATTTGTCCTCAAGAGATGGAGACCCCGTAGAAAGGAAGGTTGCCAGATGCCAGCTCCCTGTCCCAGAGGGTGGGAGAAGGTCTTTATCAAAATGAAGCAGGTGCCCAAGGGTGCTGGTCATTTCAGTATAACCTAAAAACTGCTCCACAGGAATGACTGCTGGGGAAAGTGCTCATACATTTGATGACACCCAACATCCAACTTTAAAGCTTGTGCATTCTCTGTAATGCCAAAACAACCACACTCAACCAAAGTAAGGGACACAGTAACTCTCCTGGGAAAAGTTCTTGGCACTGCCCACTGTTCCTTCATGTTGAAGATGTAGGATAATGAAAACATATCTGAAAGGACTATTCAGAAAAAAAAGGAAGAAGGGAGCTTGTGTTATATTAAGACTATATGGACGTAGCCAGCACATTTCAAAGCTGAAGATGGAATGTGGCTATTGAGGCTGCAATGTTGGTCCTTTCCATCTGATTCATTACAACTGCTAAACATACTGTGTATCCCCAGCCTAACACTATTGTTATGATCATTTCTCAAAAGTGTGGCTTAAGAGCGTACTTTTCCGATTTGCATAATAACAATGGCCTTGCAACTAGACTGGTGCCTATTTCCAGCAAGTCTATGTAGAGACTACATTAATCCCTGAGCACCTGGCAGGAAGGCACACTGCAAACAGTCTGGGGTCCCCATCAATTTTTTATGCTCTTGGGCATGCAGGCACATACACACAAGGAGACAGAGACAGTGTCATTGGGGGTCTGACCATGTCAATTGCACCATCCCTGTTATTTTTCCCTGGTTAGGGTATGTTGTTATAAGAGGCTCTTGAAATGACTGTCTGCTGCTGGATCACTTGAACTTGATCAGTCATATGAAAAAACAGGAATCATCAACAGAAGTGAGTCTTCATAATACTGCTTTAGTCACACTACTCTTCAAAAATGTTTTTTTCTATGTGTTATGTGGTGTGTACATGCATGTAGGGAGCTCTACCTGAAGAAGCCAGCGCCCCCCCCCCATGCCCTCCACACAGTGTGAAGGAGCAAGCAAAGTAACAGAGAAGTATGGGGGTAAAGTCAGTCACAGTGAGAATCCTGACCCCCGGGAGGAGCAGGGACGGGCAACAGGGTAGGGTCACTGGCCCAATATTTAGGTCAAGGGTCTGAGACGCATGAGCTGTGGTGGCCGTGGCTAAAGTGAGTGCAAGAGAGAGATCAGGTAGAGAAGAGAGGCATGCAGCTGCCACACATTCTGCTCACAGCTTTCATCATAGCACTCCGGCGCCAGAGGCACCTGGCTCTCTTGAGGTTAGCCTGGTCTACATAGTGAGTTCTCAGGCCAGCCAGGATTATGTAATGAGTCCCTTCCAAAATAAGGAAACAAATAAACCAAGAAAGAAGGGCAGCTATGCTTCGGGGCTCCACTTCAGCCTGAAAGAAAGCAAAGGCTACCTCACTCACCATCCCAGTTAGGCCAGGTTAGACACACAGCTTAGATAGCAGAGGCTGCTGGTCGGGGGTAGGAGTTGGGTGGAGACAGCTATGGCCTTTTATGCTCTCAAAGGCAGAGTTTCTCTGGGAACTGGAAAGACCTATGGTCATTTTACATGCAACCTCCATTCTCCCACTGTGTTACCACTGTGTTCTCTGGAAACCCACAGAGAACCTCAAGACATCTCTTTTCCAGAAGCTTCCTCTGCAAAATGAGGCTGGGCATCTGCAGGCCAATGGCTCTGCCTGGCAGTGTCCTGTCAGTTGGGAGCTGTTTGTTCCCTAGGACTTAACATAACTCTGCTGGCTCTTCACTTCTTTCCAACAGCTGCGCACTGAGCCCAGGAAGGAAATGTGAGGTCATTTTGTGGAAGTACTTGATAATGGATTTCTGTTCCCTGGACACAAAGAGAAAATTGGAGAAGTGCTAATAGGATTCACGGGCTGGCTATAAATAATGACTCAGATCATTTCTACCTTGTTACCATCATGGAGCAAACCCAGGATGTTGGCACTGGATTGAGTGGGCCATAAGACCTGACTTCCTTCCTTATAACCATGGCCTCTAGAACTGAAAGACAAAGGTCAGGACTTTTAGAAGGTACCACCCCCACCTCATACTTTGGTTTCCAGAGAGGTTGCCATGTTGGTTGTGAATAGTTCCTTACTGACAAAATTCTGGTTCATCCCCACCCCCCCATCATCCTTCTTCACTAATACACGTAGATGGTTCACTATGACCTTGAAGTCACTCTTTCACCAGAAACCAAGTCCAACTTTATCCATATGGCTCTTCCTGGAACCAGATAGGGATTTCACGGGGGAGAGTGGCATAGCATTAAATGTGCTCTCTGTGTGGATGTAAGAAATCCCTGGAGCTGGGGAGCAGGCTAAGTGGGTAAAGTGTTTGCCATGCAAGTGTAAGAATCTGAGTCTAGATTCTCAGCACCCACACAAAAGCCAGAGGGTGGGAGGGGACAGAAAAATCCGGGAGGGGGTGAGGCTTGCTTGTTGTCAAATCAGTGAGCTCCAGGTCTAATGAAAGACACTAACCATATCCAGGCTGGCCACCTCTGTAGACGCTCTCAGGGAACGTGCTGTCAGGTACAGGTATAATCCATGGTGATGACTGAGAACAGAGGTCAAAGGCTATGTGACACACCTCAGAGCACCCACTCTTTATTAGCGATGCATTACTCTCTGAATGTCTCTGACAAAAAAAAAAAAAAAAAAAAAACCAACTTCATTCTAGGGAAAGGTAGTGATGGAAACAAAATTCTGAGGAATGAAGAATTTAGTCAGTGTGATGGTTCCTTATGATTGTCACCTTGGCAGGATCTAGACTCACATAGGATAAGCCTCTGGTCATGTCTGTTGAGGGATGATCTATATCTGGTTAGTGGAAGAACTACATTAACTATGGTGTCACCGCTCCACAGGATGGCATCCTGGACTGAATGAAAAGGAGGAAGCAATCTGAGCACCAGCATTTGACCCCTGACACAAAGTGACAAGCTAGCTTGAGCTCCTGCCAAGGTGGCTTCCCCACCACGGCGGACTCTACCCTGGGACCGAAAGTCCGAAGAAACACTTCCTTCCTAAGTTGGGTTTGCAGGTATTTGCCCCTAACAATGAGAAAGGGAACTATTACATAGTCCACAAATGCAAGATTAATCTTGTTTCAGAACATAGAGGATCTGCCCTAGATAAGGCCAGTGGTCATTAGCTTATATAGCCCTGTGCTTCAGGACTCATGGAGCACTTTGTAGAAATGAAATTTTAAAAGCACACATCGGCCTCACACAGATCCCAAACACAAGGAAAGGTTTGGAATGGGGTGCTCCCTCTCCTGCTTTGAACACAGCCCCCAGGACTGTCTAAACACTCACTTAGTTGGAGGTGTGAGCTGCCCATCAGTCTGCAAGGGGAAAGCTGACTTGTGGATTCCCTTTGGAGATTTAATGCACTCTCTTTCCTCTTCTGCTCAAGTGGTTAAACATTTGCTTCAGAGTGGCATCTCATTGCCTTTGCTTGTCTCTCTAATAATGAAACCCTAGAATGTCAAGTCCTTCAAGGCTGCTTCAAAAGGGCAATCCTTGGTATTGAAATGAAGGGCTTCTGGTGCCCTTTAAGTCTGAGTTGTTCGACACCTAGGGAATTGCCAGATTTACACAGATCAGGTCCCCAAGGCCGGGCGGGGCCAGGTAGCTCCAACTGCTGTTATGATTCTGCTCTGTAAAAATGCAAACTTGTTCAGGCCCATTAAGCAGCAGCCCTGAGATAGGTCTGGGAAGTTTCTCTGGTGCCATGTGACTGTGATGTGACTTTCTGTAGCCTCTTCCTGGCACAGTCACCCAAACCACGCTATTTTCCAATTCTGCTAAACAAAAGAAAACTGAGTGTGTGGAGCAGGCGTATGCATGGACGGACACACTCTGCCTTTACCCAGAAGGGAGACAGCTTCCACTGCTGGAGCAGTTGGGTTCTTTGCAAACCTCTGAGCCTGTGGCCATGCAGCGATTCTCGAGGCTCTTTCATCCTCACAGCTCCCACCATCTGTCCCAGGGGACCGAGGACACATTCCCAAAGTTTCTCTCTTTCCTACAAAGCTCCACATACCTGTCCTGAGAAGCTAGGACTTTATCCCAGTGGTCTGCACATTTGCATTTCAAAAATAAAGTCCCAGGGACTCAACATCAAACACTTCTCCTGAAAGCTTAAGTAGCTGCAGACAGCTCCTTGTCCTACTTCCAAACAACTCCTCCATAACACAAGTGGCAAAACTAGGCGGCTCGGTGGGCAACTGAATGTGGAAATCCTCCTGAAGACTTTGCACCCCAATAACGCCAATTTGCAAAATTATGTCATTAATATAAAACCATACAATTACAATGGTAGATGAGTTGCTTAGCAGCTAGTTGGAGATGGATATTGGTTTGTTTTTTTTTTTTTTCATTTGTTTTTAAGTGTGTGTGAGTGTTTTGCCTACCTGTGTCTAGATAGCTGCACCTGCAGTCCCTATGGACACCTGAAGAAGGTGTCAGATCCCTGGGACTGGAGTTACAGTCAGTTGTGAGCCACTATGTGGGTGCTGGGAATCGAACTCAGGTCCTCTGGGAGAGCAGACAGCACTCTCACCTGCTGAGCCATATCTTCTTCTAGCAAAGGAGATATAGATAGATAGATAGATAGATAGATAGATAGATAGATAGATAGATAGATAGATAGATAGATAGATAGATAATAGATATGAGATACCTGCAATATGGGGCCACAGCATAGCTGTCATCTGATTATGTTTGTTTTCATTATAATTGGTTTCTATTTTCTTATTTTCTCTAATGAACAATAATCACATAAGACTCTTTTTCTTTTTTTAAGTACAGTGTCCATCACATCTACTCCTACATTAAACAAATCACTATCCTGGCTATGGAGCAGCAAGAAAAGAGTGGGAAGATATGTTCCCAGAAACTCTGGTAACACTATAGGCTTAATCTCCAGCAAATATGTTGAGCACAACTAGATACCCAGAAGGCTATGAGGAGACAGAGATGAGATCTGTCTGTGGCCAGATATAGTGTGAGAGGAGCAGAGTCTAGGGGAAAATGGTGATCACAGACAAAGGAGGGAAGGTCATGGAGACTCTGGAATTTTGTGGAGTAATGTTTTCTGTCCTCACAAGGCAACCCATCACAGTCTGTGGCCTTCTTGGCTCTGATAGAACCCCTATGTTGAAAATCATAGCACAGGAGGGACCTGAGCTGAGCTATATCCCCTCACTGCTTCCTTGGGGGACAGCAGAGCCAAAGGGAAGCCTTGGAGAGACTTGAAGAATAGAGAATCAGCCCTGTGGGGCTATGAGGAAGCAGCCTGTGGGGATTCCAGCTTTTTCCCTCTCCATTAACTCTGTTCACTTCCAGCTTCCTACCCTCCTTCCCAGGACCACTTCAGAGCCCTTGGTCCAATGATGCTGCAGTTTTTCTGTCCAGATCACATCTTGGATGTGGATGCCTTCCCTGAAGGAAATGCTGCATCCTCTCCAGGTCAGTGTCCAACTGGAAAGTGCAAGATGATGTCTGGGACCAAAGGCAAGTAGAGGAAAGTGCTCGTGTTGTAGCCAGAGAACAGCTGCTGCTCACAGCAAAGTTGGCCCTTGAGACAAATGTGGATTATGATTGGCCATAAACAAAAGTGCATCTTCAGAAGCAAACTGGTCAGCTGGCTGCAAACCACTGCTCTAAGATGACAAACGTGTGCTTGTGACAGCCAGAGATATAGCCTACCCTACCAAATGGGGACCTGGGATTCCTCAGCTTCAGAAACAGCCATGTAACTGCAAACAACAAAAAGTAGCTTGCTTTCTTCCAGCTTATTTAATTTTTTTCCTTATACATTACCTTTTCTCATAGTTAACTATATAGCACCAACCCAGATAAAGGAAAACCCCATTCTACAGTTGTCATTCTTAAGGACAAAATACCAAACAGAAAATATATATTTATTCGATTGACTTTAGCATTTAGGAGACATTGTATCTTCAACTTGTATTCCTGCTCAACAGAAATAGGCATCTTCTAGGCATCAAAATAACACCACCCAATTCCTAGAAGTACCCAAGAAGGAATCAAGGGAACTGGAAAGCAAGTTCGACCAAACACACTCTCAGAGCAAGGGCACCACAGCAGGGAGAAAGAACTCGGGGAGAAGAATTCAACACATGCATTCCTTGGAGCAAAGAAAGAATCTTTCAAAGTACAAACAAAAGTCCACTCTGCTTTTATTCTACAAATTTGAATTTAGTTATTTTTATGATGCCATGGACCAAAACCACAGTCTCCTCAATGCTAGGAGACTCAAATGTTCTATCACTGAGGTACCATCCCAGCCCTCATTCTAATTTAAAAGTTCTGGAGTGGGCACTATTTGTTATACTTTGCCCAGCTGAAGAAAAATGTTCCCCTAAGTATTTTTCTCATTCTAAACTAAGACATCATTCAGTCTTTCATTCATAAATGAGAAAACTGGGCTTTTTTTCCCCTTACCTTAAGCCAACCAGGAATGTCATACTATCTTTAATAATTTCTGACTAAAATCTGCATTTGTAGCATGTCATGAGGGGATAGCAATGTGACAATGCCTTACTGAAACTCTTTGGTGTCCCTGAGACTTAATTGCTCATGGTAATTGGGACAAACAACTCTACAGTCTAAAGTTTGTGGGACACTATGCTGTCTACAAGTTCCTCCCACGCCACCTCTTACTGGCAGGGTGGCCGCCCCTCTGCAAGTGGCTCAGGGATGAGAATGAAAGGATTTGCTACATGGAGGGCTGCCACTAGAACCCATGCATTCAGGGAAACTGAGGACAGCCCTCTCTTCCAGCTTCTGTTTGGGTCTGAGTGTGGTTGTACTCTCATTTCAATACTCCTTGTTACAACGAGAATGAATTACTCTCTAGTATCAAATGCCAGCTTTAAACTCCACACTGAGGACATGAGTAATTTCCAGCCTTTTTTAGGAAGGAAAGGGGGTCACGATTTGAATTCCTGCTGTGATTTTCCCTCCTTGACCCCTGTGGGAAGGAATGCACCAGGCAAAGCTTGTGCCAGCAGCATTGATTTAGATCCCACTCTTGTCCCCTGCCCTGAAGAGACGTGGAAATAAGGTCAACTTTATTTAAAATCTCAAACATCTAAAACTTTGTGCTTTACACCAAAAAAGAAAAGAATGGCATCTGAATTTTATTGGGAGACTTATCAGTTCTCAATAGCATGGATTCTATCTTTGTTTTATTGATTTTTGTAACGTTCAATGTGGCAAACTTACGGTGAATAATAATTTGCCAAGAAGTCTGTCCTGTGTTGTGGTAATGTCAAAAGAACCTGGAAGGGAGAGGCAGCTACTTGCTGTTCACTCAGAAACGTTCCAGAATAAGTCAGAGCCCCTTTAACTCCCCCAGCAAGTGCCCAGAAGCCCAGAGGAAGCTTCTAGAGGCAGAGGACCCGCCAGCAGCACATGAAACACACACAGGGATCTCTGGCACAGCTTCAAACTCCCTCAGTCACTACACAAGGGACCAGTCCTCACTACACTGCTCAGCTCAGCCGCCAGATGTTTCCTCCACCCACATGTGCAGCTGGCTTGCCAAAAAGTCCGTTCACTGACTATGGAAAAAGGTACAGGCTTGTCTTAGAATCTTTACAAATGCTAGGGACAGGGCTGTGCACACAGCAGTGAGTTTACATTTGAAATGAATTCCCTCCCTTATGTAGGAAATTGAGATCACACAGTGGAGATAGTAGTCCCATCCCTTCGCTCATAATCAATGCCCACTTTCTCTGCACACATATCAGTGTATCAGCTGCTAAATTTCCTCCACAGCAGCTATTAGAATAAGTCAAATTTAGGAAATCTTACTACTCAAACACTGTAAAAGGTGTCATGGTATCACAAAGTACCCCAAACATTTTTATGGTTTCATGTATCAGCTAAAATTAAACTTAAGGACTGGCAAAATGGCTCAGCAGTTAAAGGTACTTGCCACCAAGCCTGACAATCTTAGTTCAATCCCCAGGAACTACATAGTGGAAGAAGAAACCTGACTCCCACAAGCTGTCCTCTGACTTCCACATGTACCTTGACATGCATGCACACAGTGAGTTTGAGGGTCATGGATACATGAAACCTGTCTCAAAAATCAAACAAACAAAACTTAGTATTATAATCATATACCAAAGTAATGGCCATGATTTCAGGTACATGGTCATCAGTACATTTGTGGTAATGGTAAATCACAATCGACTGGTGCTAGGCATTTAAGTCTACAATCAACAACATCCATAGATTTCATACATAGAATTCATCACCGTACATGACCATTGAGGCTGAGTGTGTCCACTCGTTTACACTCACTCAGAAAACAAAACAATGCAACTCTTGATGCAGGAAACAAACCCAAAGCAAGTGTGAATTTTTAACAAATCAACTTTGCAAGAAAGACCTGCATCCCATGAGCTGGATGGAAAACCTGCACTCATGAATGATTCATCCCTAGAGACTGCGGATGGATTACTCAAGGTCCCCGGGCTGGCCCTTCCTGCACGTGTGCTGTATGAGACTCACAGACTGTGAGCGGGCCCTGTGCTTCTCACTTGAAATAATGAGAGGTCAGGAAACAGTAGAGAACAAGACCGGGGCACTGAACAAAAACTAACATGTTCCAAATAATCATTATTTAAAAACTCTCCCTAGGCGGGCAGAATAACTGCCCTGAAAACAAACAGAGTCTCTGGCATACAGCTGGGGGTCCTTCCTCGCCTCTCTATGTCAACAGGGAAGAAATGGACAGAAAGGTGGTGTTGGAAATGACAAACTCTCCCTCACTGAACTAGTAGAGAATAAAGTAGTCCAAGAAGGAATTTGCAAGAAAAAAGAAACCTATTCCAACTCACCAATACTTTAAAATAGCTTTAATATTTGTTACGTGTGTGTGCATGCACGTGCGTGCGTGCGTGCGTGCGTGCGTGCGTGCGTGCGTGTGTGTGTGTGTGTGTGTGTACATGTGTGGGTGTATATGCATCTATGCGGAGGAAAGAGGCTGATACTGGATAACTTTCTCAACTCCTCTTTACCTTATTTTTTGAGTCAGTGTCTCTCCTTGAATTGAGAGCTCACTTATTTGGCTAGGCTGGCTGACTAGTGAGCTCCAGGGATCCACCCGTTTCCACCTCTGCAAATCTGGGATTACAGGTATGCGCTGTCTTGCCTAGCCTTTTTTCTTTTTGAAATACAGTCTCATGGTGTAGCTCTGGCTGCCTGGAACTCATTACATAAGCCAGGTTTGCCTTGAATTCACAGGGATCTCCTTATCTGTCTCCCAAGTGTTGGGATTAAAGGCATACATCATCATACCCACCTTTTCACCTGGGTGCTGGAGATCTGAACTCAGGTTCTCTAGCTTTAATGCTAGGCACTTTGTGGACTAAGCCAGCTCTGTGGCTACCTAGGATCCAACTCTGAGTATTTCCCAAGAGTTTTGCATGGCATACTTCTTGCCTTTGTGAGCAAGGGTGGAAAACACAGCGTGCCCTTTTGATGAGTATTCTTCAGGCTGATCTTGGGCTATAACATCTTAATGTATTCTTTAGTGCCCCTGGTAAAATCAGATTGCCTTTTATCTACTTACATGTCTGTAGAAGAGTATAGTGGCATAGTTTCATAGAATTTCCTCCACCCACCAGAGGTTCACATGCTTGAACATTTGGTCTTCAGTTGGTGGCGCTGTTCTGGAAGGTTGTAAAATCTTTTGTCTATAGGGCCTAGCTGGCCAACACAGCCATACAGGCAGGGCTTCCATCAACCCACCTATCATACCTTCTCTGAAATGGATCTGAGAGGTCAGATAAATCCTTCTTCCCCTATGATGCTTCCTGCCAGATGTTTGGTCACAGTAGAGAAAGAGTAACTGATATAAGTGAGGAAACTCAGGAGACAAATCTAGGTTTCAATCCCAACTCCATTACTTTGCAACATAGCAAACTTGGTAATCAACCTTACCTCTCTGAGCCTCTTTGTGGTTGATGTGAATGTATCAAGGGCTGGGTACCTAGTCAGCATTTAATAAAAATCCATTCCTTCCCCTTCTTGTCCTGTTCCTTGTTTACTCTTATATAACCCAGAATGTCAGCAGACCAACTTGTAAAGTACACAACAAAATCATCCTAGGAAGACGCTAAGCTAGTCCTAATGAGGGTCCTGAGCATATAGAATATTCTGCTAGGGGTTTTACGATGGCTGTTTCCAGGGTTTGGCTTTTAACTACAAAGTCTAGAAGATAGTCTTTGTGTATGCATCACTTTGGCTAGAACTTTGTTCCCATGGTCTAAATAGAAAAGAGATCCATTGCACATTGAGTCCTCAAGAAACTGATGGAGGGGGCCTCTCACCACGTGCTTCTGAGAATCAGGCTGTGTGTGTGTGTGTGTGTGTGTGTGTGTGTGTGTGTGTGTGTGTGTATTTCA